TCCAGATTTTAGGAAAACAGCCTTACCTCATAGCAGTTTGCATTCCTTCTAGAGATGATGACCACAGAAAGGCATAAACCATGGAAAGCCACAGAAGCTTCCTTTGAACCTTGATGTTCCCCTCATTTCAGTCACAAGATTTCTCATGCAGTTTCAACCTCTTGGTGCTAATCTCGAAGGCTGAAGGTGGTCTTGAAATGTTTTTTCAGAAAGACGAGTGAAGGTCCAGACCTGTGGCTGTACGGAAGGAAATCCTCGCACTCTGTTTTTCTGCTCCACTTAAAATACAGCCACCGCTTTCTGGAGAGATGCCAAAACAACAGATGACATCACAATGAATAGTGTGCCCTTGAGAAACTGCCCACTTCCTCACACAGTGTCCAAGTTGGCCGTAGCTGCCTATTAGCTTTATTTCTTTAACTTTTTAGTGCAAAATCAGGAGAAAGAGAACAAAACAAAACAAAATTCAGAAGTGCAGAAAGAAAGCACAACAAGAAACGGTTTATTGATTGATTAGTGTTATGACCATGTCAAAAATATAACACAACAGTAAAATATAGATATTTCTTGACACAATCAGAATTGAGCCCAAAATTTATGTCGCTAAGCGAGACAGTTGTTAAGTGAATTTCCCCCCCCCATTTCATAAATATGAGTCAGTTATAAATTGACAATATCGACAGCATATAAAGAGAACTTGTATAAGATGTTTTATAGATGGCACTTAGCACCTCCAAAATTAGCAAAAATGTTTAAAGATAAATCAACCAAATGTTGGAAATGTCATCAAATACCAGGAACATATTACCATATGTGATAGACTTGCACAGAAGCTAAAAGATATTGGACTAAAATATACACAGGGTTGGAAAAATGATTAAACAATATATAGATTTGAAGCCTGAAATATTTCTACTAGGAATGGTACCAGAAGGCTATAGTAAAGAAAAGACTTACTTAATTATACATGTTTTAACAGCAGCTAGAATTGTATTTGCTCAGAATTGGAAAAGTGACAAGATGCCAATAGAGGATAAAGTAATTGAAAAAATATTTGAATGTGCAGAAATGAATAGATTGACATTAGAAATTAAAGGGGGAAAAAAGAATCTGAATATTATATGTATGAGATTTGTTTTATCAATGGTTAGAAAATAGAACAAATTAAAAGGGATTAGATGTATTTATAGAGCAATAAGAGAAACTAGTGTAACAGATATATTGGACCTCGTCTATACTATACATATGGAAATGCGATTATTGTTGTATTGTTAAGTTGTTAAGAAGATTATTATTAATTGTTAAGCAATTGAAATATGTTCCTAATCAATGCACGATTGAAATGGAATGGATTTATTGTATATAAAAATTATATATATGTATGTATGTATGTATGTATGTGTGTATGTATGTGTATATGTATATGTATATGTATATATGTGTGTGTATGTATATGTGTATGTGTATATGTATATATAAATAAATATGAGTCAGTTGCCAAGTGTCCAAATTTTGATCACGTGACCATGAGGATGCCTCAACAGACATAAGTGTGAAAAATGGTCGTAAGTCACATTTTTCAGTGCTGTTGTAACTCTGAACTGTTGTAAACTGAGGACTACTTGTACAGGTTATAAGTCCAGGGTAAAATAGATAAAAGAAAAGTTCAGGGACAAAATACATTAATGTTAAGCAGTGGTGGGCTTTAAAATTTTTAGCAACAGGTTCTCTGCCCGGTTGCTGGGTGGGCGTGGCCATGGTGGGCATGTCCTAGCTGGCCTTCTGCACCATTGGGGGGGGGGATGTTTTTGCCCTCCCCGGGCTCCGGAGGCTTTCCTCGAGCCTCTGGGAGGGTAAAAACGGCCTCCCCGTGCTCCGGAGGCTCTCTGGAAGCCAGAAACAGGCCTATTTCCAGCCTTCCCAAACTTCCAGGAGGCCGTTTTTCTCCCTCCCCAACCCTCCACGTGCCCCCTGCATTTACTTGCATCCAAAACGGGCCACGTGGGGACTCCTGGAAGGGGAGGGGTGGGGTAGGCAGGGCCGCCTAGGAGTAGGATTTGGGGGTTCTCCAAACTGCACAGAATCTTAGCTAGGGGCTCTCCCGAACCCCCGTGTACCCCCAGCAGCCCAGCCCTGAGTGTTAAGTATAAAGAATCAGCATTCAGGTAAATACACTTTCTTTACAGAATACCTCATTCTGTTCATTACAACGGGTCCTTTGGTGATTATTGGAATTAATCTTAAAGCTCCAGGATAAATTGTCTTCCACATGGATGGCACTTTCTTTGACAACATAAGGGTCTATATCACTGATACAAGTTTATTATATTTCTATATTTAGATATAGAATAACAGCAGAAGCTATAGGAACAAAGAAACGACTAAATACAGAAGGCATCTCAAATGTTTCCTGGAATATTTCAGATAGTCAATGTTACATATCTGCTTAGAATCTAGAAACCGAGAGAAGTAAAAGTAAAATAAGAAACTATTTTTGAAAGCTGAACCGTTTGTCACTCTGCTGAAATCTCTATTTTGATCAGAATGTCAAAACAGAAATTTTAACATCCTGTAAGATGTGGTGTAAGTAGTCAAATTTAAAGAGAGACAGAGAAAGAGATGTTTCTGAACTTTTGCTTTTGCTCATATTGTCATATTATGCTAAATTGATCGCTGGAGAAAATTTATGTTTGCTAAGGATCAACGTTGACCAGATGGCACATAATCAACAAACCAGTCCATGCTTAATTTATATCTATAAGTTTAATTTATATGTTTCTTGTAACTGTGGAATAGTAAGAAGAACATCATCAGTATTTTGAAACTTTCCCAAACTTCTTTCTTTACCATGTCCTCAAATCCTGAGCAAGTAAAAAACATCAAAGTATCAGCAGGAAAAAAGAGAAACACCCCGCCCCCGAAGTGTATAAACAATGATTTCCCTTGGTTGGGCTTTTATTTTCAGTGAGGACCAAGAAGAAGAGAAAAATCAGGAATATTAGGATTTTTTCCCAATAGTATAAAGGTAAGCTTTGATTAACAAGATCACATAAGGGTTTTAAAATATTTCTTAAATACTGATAGTCCTCGACTTATAATAGTTCATTTAGTGACCATTATAACAGCACTGAAAAAAGTGACATAACCATTTTTCACACAACCGTTGTTGCATCCCCATGGTGAGTGGGTGGGATTCAGCCAGTTCAGGCCAATTCAGGCGAACCGGATGTTAGATTTACATCTGGTTGGCTGAACTGGTAGTTGAACTGACTGGCTGGCCCCACCCACTCTACCCTTCCCCTCCCAGGGGTCTCCACATGGCCCATTTTGGATGCAG